GTATCCCGATTGAAATTTGGATATTTTTTCCCAAGACAAAGATTTGCTACAATTACTGTCTCCGCAGGTTAGTATTTATCGATATAGCAAGGGAATAATTTCTCCTTTCACTTATACGGAATTTTGCCAGGCCTACGGCTTTGTTCCCTTTAATTATCTTGATTATCTTTGTTTATTAGGAGACAAATCCGATAACATTGCCGGAGTTAACGGGATTGGAACTAAATCCGCTCAGGAATTAGTGCAAAAATTTGGAACCGTGGAAAATCTATACCAAAATATTCACCAGTTGCCGGTTAAGACACAAGAATTATTAGGCAACAAACAGCAATTAGTTTACCAAAATAAACAATTGATTACTTTAAAAAAAGATTTAAATTTGCCAATTAGTTGGGAACAATGTGATTTTAATTGAGAAAGCTGAAGAAATAATCAAAATTTAATTGAATTTTGCCAAGAGCACCAATTTAGAAGTATTTTGAAACTGCTTAACTAACCATAAACGGTTTTTTAATGAAATAAGTCCAAGGCTAATTTTTAATTTACAGAATAATTTAGTCACTTATTCTTCACCGTAATTACTTAACTAGACCTTTTTTGTTGGTTGGTTGGAGGCAAACCCTTTAACCACTCGGTTAATTTATTTTTAATGGTGGTTTCATCTTTAAAAAGAACCACACAATTTTCTAAACTTTTTTCTTTATTGGCTGGCTCATTGTTTAAGAATTCTCATTGCTCCTTGGTTAAAAGAACAAGGTGTTTATTTTCTCCAAATAATTTTTGGCAAATTTGTTGCTCTTTAATTTGGTAAGTTTTGGCCAAATATTCCACTACATTATTATCCTGAACTTGGAGCATAATTATATCTTTTTCCTTAACCAATAATTCCGTATCAATAAAAAAAGAAACTGGATTATTTTCTAATGCTTGCTTTCACTGATTTTTAATTTCGCTAAAGTCTTTGTTTGCCAAGTCATTTTCTTTTAACCATGCTTGAAGTTTAAACAAAGGTAAATGACAAAGTTTTGCCGCTTTTAAAAGTTCAATATCCTCCATGGTGGATTATTTTCCTGGTTTTTTTGCTTTTGCTTCCTCTCTCTTTTGCAAAAAGAAATAACCGGCGACGCAGACAACCGCTAATATTCCCAAAATTAGCAAAATTATTCCTCAGGTCGGGAAACCTTTGCTCTTTTCGTCTCTTCTCCTTCCGGTGGTGGAAGTGGTGGAAGAAACTTCTTCCTTTAATTTATTTAATTGAGTTTGAAAGTCCCCTTTTTGTTTTTCTAAACTTTCTATTTTTTGCTTAATTTCTGCCTGAGCCGCTTGGTCAGCAGAATTAGAGGTTGCTTTTCATCCTTCAATTTGATTTTCAAGTAGTTGTATTTTGGTTTCTAATTGCTTTATTTCTTTGGACTCGGAGGATTTTTCTTCGCTTGAATTTTCCGTAGTTTCATCTTCTTCGCTTGGTGCGGAATTTTTTTGTTGTTGTTCGTTATATTTTTGGAACATTTTTTCTAATTTTGGCTCGTATTTTTTAAAATTTTCTATATCTCGCTTCCATTGTTTAATAATTCGTTGTTTTTCTTCATCGTCAAAAATATCAATCGCGTTTATTTGTTTTTCGTAATGGGTTCAGTTTGCCTCAATTTCTTTAAGTTTAGAACCTCATTGAGCCAGAAAACGCAACTCTGCTTCGGGGGGTTCAGTTTCTCCCTCTAATCGGTCAATATGTTTAAAAATTGCGGTTGAAATTGCTTCGCCGACTTCTCCGGCTAATTTTCTTTCCTCTTTTTGATTTTTGTCTTGTAAAGTAGAGGAAGTTTCTAGCAATTCGTTAAGTAAACGGGCGATTTCCAGTAAAGAAAGTTTAGGATTATTAACTTTCTTTTTTAATTCTTGT